TGTGGAAGTTGAGGAAGTAGTTGGCCTGGTCGATGAAGAAGAGCTCGAGCGCGGAGCGGCGCAGGTTGTAGCGGCGTAGGTGGACCTCACGCAGGTGGGACAAGGGACGCTTGAAGTCATAGCCGATCCCTGCCGAGATGGGGGGGGTTGGCACAGAGCCCCCTGGGCACCATTGTCTACCCGGACCCCAATTCCTGAGGCAGGGATGGAGGCCAGCATCGCCCTGGGGCTGGGAGGAGCCCACCCCCAAAATGGCCAGCACCCGGCATGATGGGCTTCTGGAGGAGATGGGATGGGTGGGGGGTTCCTCACCCCACCTTGCTGCAGGGACCCCCCTCCCAAGGAGCACCGTGCCGTTACCTCCCTCCGTCTCCTCCTTCTCGCTGCTGCCGTCGTAGAAGTAGATGTGCTGGGTTGTCACCTCCAGGCGGCCGGGGATAACAGCCACCGTCGTGATGAGCTCGCAGTCCTCCGAGACCACCAGCTTCTCCCGCTGGTTCTGCTCCTTGGGCTCAGCTCTGGGTGACAGCGGGGGTGAGGAGACCCCGGTGACACCCCCAGGTGGGCTAGCCAGTGCCATAGCAGGGGATGGGGACACTCACTGGTTGTCCAGGACGGGGAGGTCCTCCTCAGCCAGTTGGTCATCCTCCAGCTCGCTCACCTTGGCCTCCTTGGCCATGGCAAGGGGGAGGGATTCGGTAGGGTTGTGGAGGTGGTTGGCTCCTGAAATGAGGAGGGGGTCAGCAGACACCCCCAGCCACCCACAGCTGGGGGACGAGTCCTGCAAGAGTTCCCCATCCTACCCCCCAACCCCAGTGGGGTCCATGACAGCTCCCAGCTCAACCCCATCACGCGCATTCAACTGGTGGCACCCCCTTGCCCGTGGAATGGGAGGACCCCTGGGTGCCCCATTCCCATCAGCCTCACCCAGGTTGTCCCGTAGGGCGCTGGCCTCCAAGTGCTGGTCAAAATTCAGGTTGGGCACCAGCTTCAACCTCATCCGGGAGTAGGTCTCGGCGCTTGACAGCTTCCAACGAACCTCCTGGGGGTTTCTGGGGGGCAGGCGAGGGTGAGCCACCCTGGGGGATCCCCAGCGGGGCCACCCCTTCCCAGGGA